TTTTTACCACTGCATCATTGGTATGATACTATACTTGGCTCAGAAAAGATTTTCAATATATATGTGTTCAAGGAATGAATGAGAGAGGTCACATGACTTGTCAAAGGCCACAATATGTCGTGCAACCAGAATTTAAATTCTGGACTGTCTAGCTCCAGAACCTGTCTGTGATCTCTCTATTATACCCCCAACAAGTACTTTCATATGTTGTCTTATTTCTAAAGGTCCTAGCTTGGTGTTATTGTCTCTCAGCTGCTTATGAGCACAAACCTAGACTACCTGCCACGAACTCACCTATTCAATGATGAAGAACCAGCCCTTCTGGAGTTGTGCCCTCTCCCTACCCTCTTCAGCTCAGCATCCTCCTTCTCCAAAAAGCCTTTGCTCACAGCCCTACTTACCTACTTGTCTCTCTCTCCTCTGGCCTTATTGCCCCTTCCTATATTTGAGCTATAAAAGTGGGTCTAAGTCACCTGGCCTCAGATGGTTTTACATATATTAGTGCTTTATTAAGGCAATTTAATTCCACAGATGTATACTGAAGACAAATGTGTTCTCAGGCCTTCCTGTGCCAGGCCCAGTGGGTAGATACAGAGATGAATCAGACACAACCTCGAAGAACTTATAGTCAGTAAGGCATAGATAGAATTAACTAGAATACAAAGCAAGATGACCTAAATGGTATGAAAGAATTATGAGCCATATGCTACATGCATAAACCTTAGTTACTTAATTATATTCTGAAGAGTGTGTCATAGAAAGTCACAGCTTAAAGGTATCATCTGGTTCAACCCCTTGTTTTCCAGTGGAGGAGTCTGAGACCCAAAGAAGGGTAAGGCCTAGGCTAAAGTCTCACTTGCCAGTCTGGCCTAACCAAGATTAGACTTCAGGTCTTCTGAAGGCCAGCCCAGGGCTCTTTCCTCATCTTCTAGTAGCTTCATGTACAGCAGTCCCATATCCCACCAGACCATGAAATTCTCAAGACCATGTCAAATTCTCCCACTTAAGCAAGCTGAACCAGGGCCAGACTTACCCAAGACCAAGGGCTCAGGAAATGCAGTCTGACCCCAGGCTGCCAGGTTTTTGGTCTATTGCACCTTACGTGCACCCTACTTTACCACTATGAATCTAAAATTGATTTTCAAGAATTTTTTACAGAAAACTTTATCTATCTATCTATCTATCTATCTATCTATTTATTTATTTATTTATTTATTTTAACACCTACAGCACCAGGTCTTCCTAGGTGGTCTCCCATTCAAGTACTAACCAGGCTTCCGAGATCAGACAAGATCCAGCATGTTCAGGGTGGCATGGCCTTAGATCAGAAAACTTTTTTAAAATGAGCTCTTTATCTAGAACACTAGTATATAAATCAGATAAGTCACCCTCTGGTTAAAGAGAAGGGAAGCCAGAGTCCTACTATTTTGCTGCTCTCAAATCCTGGGAAGGGAATTCTAGGAACATATCTCAAAAACCTTTGTTCTGGGACACAATTTTTATTTTTTATTTTTATTTATTTTTTTTTACACTGAAAAATTTTTATATTTAGAATTAGCCAGCTGGACTGAGTTTAGATGATCCCAATTTTGTTGGCAATATCCAAAGCATCATAGTCGGGAGCCAGTGAACATATGCCTTCTTCTTTCCATCAGGCCTGATCAGGGTGTTGACTTTGGCCTCGTCAAAGAGCTTTTTCACAGCCTGTTTGATCTGGTGCTTACTGGCCTTGATATCCACAATGAACACAAGTATATTGATGTCTTCTACCTTCGTCATGCCTGACTCTGCAATCAGGGGGAACTTTATGAAGGCATAGTGTTCAAGCTTGTTTGGGGGTGGGACACTCTTCCGAGGATATTTGGGTTGCCTTCGGAGCAACAGTGTCTTGGGCGGTCGGAAGGTGGGTGATGTGCCTATCTTCTTTTTTTGTGGCTGTGGACGCCTTTCAGCATTGCTTTCTTTGCCTTCAAAGCCTTTGCTTTGGCTTTGGCTTTAGGAGGGGCAGGGGCTTCCTTCTTCGCTTTCCGTGCCATCTTCGTGAAAAGGGTTTGAGACCATTTTTAATGGCTTCATAGAAGCCATTTCAGTATGTGATTCTCCACTGAACTCTGTCTTTTATGGAAACTCACAATCCTTTCTTCATTATCAAATGCCAAGCACCAGCCATGTATTCCCAGTAGGGTATGAAGAAAAATCAGATTTCCCCTTGTATTTCCAACTCTCCTCTCCTCCACAGAGAGGAGGTTTATCCCAAGTGCTGTGGGGAGAGAGAAGAGACCCAAACTCTGTCAGGTGGAGTGCGGGGGTGGGGGGGGCGGGCTGAGGAAGCTTCCCCAGAAGGAATGGAGAATG